TTTTAACGCCTCTAGGGACCTCTGCAGATACTAAATGCCTGTCTTGCTCTCGAGAATAGTCTCCCGTGAAGAATATGTTCAATCCAGCTATCTCTATGAGGAACATCGCAGCACCTAGTACATGACCAGCAGGATAAGGAGTAATCCGAATAGAAGAGATGGTGTGAGTTGTATGATAATCGATTGCCTCGATCTGTGAGAAGGTATTCAGATGGTCCTGCTCCGTGTAGACGGGCTGTGATGTAAGATTCGAAGAAGTGTTGCCGACTCGGACACTGTCTTGGATAAGCCATTTATAGATAGCCTTGGTTGGATGCGTCATAAAGACCCTGCCTCTGAAATTGGTCTTCGCTAGAACATAGGGAAGAGATGCAGCGTGGTCTATGTGGAAACTTGGCCGATGTTAGCATACTTCTTGGAATGTATAGAATACTAGAACTAAGAGCTAAATGAGGCCAGGTATCGCAATGGGCATCACGGCAGTCAAAAGGGAGCTACCAGCTGGGTGATGGGGCAATATATTTTTATTGATAGTTGAATACATGAGAGCAAAGTCATGAACATCCACAAGTCCGTAGGCGTAATATCCTGGTAGAACACTCGGATAATAGCCTCTGCTTATGGTTGCGGGAGCAAGTCATCTTCTACCCTAACCGATACGAAGCCCTTGATCATCCGCAGCTGTATTGTATAACGAGGATCGGAAGGATAAACTTACTGGCTAATAAGGAGAACATCGACAGTGCTTAGGTCGAAGTCGTCAAAGAAGGGGAGAGCGGCGAGGCCATCGTAAGCAGGATGTTGGCCAGCATCAAGCTATATAGAAATATATTGTTAGCTAGGGACTATAACCTGGAGGGAGTCAAGTTTAAATCGACTAACCATGACTGTCTTTCCTTTGTACTGGATGATATGGCATGATCGACCGACTTCGTTTCCACCTCCCAGACAGAGAAACATCAGCTCGTCTGCTGGATCTACTGGTTCCTCATCAACAGCCGAAGCCGCAGCCATTGCCGAAGCCTTGCGCTTAGATGCCATGGCTAACGGAGCTTTTAGAGCTGCGCGATGGGGTTGTTGGAGTTGCGCTGTTTGGTCCTAAACCAAGATGTTTTTGTTGCTAGATAATTATGGGAAGAAAGGAATGCGATCTAGCGTAGCAGCGCACTAAATTTGTTAATAGACCGGCACACAATGGATGTCATCTCAAGATGGGAGCATTACGCGGAGTGATCGCGTGCAGTTAATTAAGGTCAAATAACTTTATCACTTGAACCAATAATGAAGATGGAAGTTTGGATGTTATGTAAAGGTCAAAGATGTGGATTGTATGGCTTGTATTATTGGCGCGGCAGGTACGTAATGTAATGCGGCAGCAGCAATAGCAGCAAATTGGAGTAGGTGCCTGCCCGTATGTATTCAGTAGGCGTAAATTACCTAAAGTTTAGCGCGTCGCGCGTATGTACCCTCCAATCCAATCTGTAAGGTACGTACATATGTAGAAAAACCCTCTTTTGCGGCTCATTAACCGGCTTTTAATTGATCCGGTCAAGCATACAGGGGACATCTGGAGTTGGGGCCAAGAGAAGTACATAGGTACCTAAGGTTAGGTACTTAAGTTAGGTACCTACATTAGGTAGGTACGTATCTAAAACCTTTCAGTCAACAGCACTGAGGTAAGTCACTAAAGGGAAGCCTGTGGGGACCGTGCGTTGGTACTACACGAAATCTTTCCAATGGGAAAACAGGAGCTTTTCTTGTGTTGCTGAAGTCTAAGATCGCCTCCTCATCCATCCCAAACATCAATATCCCATCACCAACCACTACCGTCCCCGACGCGCCCCCCGCCTCTCTCATTGGTTTCGACCTTATTCGGTATCGCATTTGTCGCCTTCAGATCGCCTTTCAAGTACATATCCTCGCACCCTACCTCTTACACCGTCGGATGGGTTTCGCCCAGTTGATTGTGACAGGCTCTGTGCCTGTCCAGGTTCAGAGAGCGTGTTGAAGAAGGGTTGTTATTTACTGTTCATTGTTTCAGGCCGAGGACTCTTCTTCATATTATAACTAATTACATCATATCCTCGTAACCCGCACGTACTCTTCCGGCTCGATACATTGTCGTCATGTCGCATCCACAACCTACGATGCCCCCGAGGCAGTTCTCGCCTCCGCAGCATTCTCCGAATCAAACTTATCAGCTTCCTCCCAATAAACGAGCTAGATTGTCTCCTGGGCCTCCGTCAAATCCAGGTTCCCCGTATCCGAATTATGCCCCGAGTCCTAGAGCTACTACTCCGGCGACTACACCGATGACTCTACCCTCACCGGCTCCCGCTCCTAACCATAACATTAATCAAGCTCCTGCGGCAGCAACTTACAACACGCCTTACCAGCAACCGAATGGCCGATCTGCATCTGTCGGTATGACACTTACGATGCCAACAGCGGTATCAACACCACCTCTAGCATCGCCTCAACCGCAGACTCCCAACGTCAGCCACGCGCCTTATTCTAACGCGAAGCTTGCGCCGGTTCCTACTCATACCTCCTTCACTTCTTCGGCACACCCGGTTATTACCAACATGGGACCACCGACTATGAACCCGGCGGGGTCTTTCTCGTCCAACGATGCGACAAGACAAGGCCTCAAGCCTACATCGACCAAGGCAGACGTCACATACGACGTGGATGATATGCTTGTAGGCACCGGTATCGATCTAGAAGAGGAGGCAGAGTACCTGAATAATCTAGAGTCTCGTGGATTCCCTAATTACCCACCTGGTGGGCCGGAGACTTTGTATGGAGCTGGGCCTGCCAATCAACCTGCTCAACCTACCAATGCGAAAACGCAGGAGGAGCTTGCTGCGGAGAGTGCAGATAGAGCCTGGAACAACGCAGCGGCACGGCTTGCCCGGACTAGAAGTCAGGAAATAGCCAACTACCTGTTAGAACCGGGCGTGGTGCATAAGCGAATGGCGGACACGGCTGCCAAGTATGGCCTTAACTTGAATGTCGACCTAAAGCCGGATGGGGGACGGTTTATGGGGAAAATGGCAAGCCCTGCCGGCGCCAAACCGGAGATCAAGGTTATGTACCAAAAGTCTCCGGATGGCACAGTGGTGCAGACGCTCGGCTCGTTTATCCCTCACGATGCTTTTCTCGTCGACCAAATTGCGCTGCTGTCGATTAGTACGAAACAGCACTTGCGGGAACTGGTTGGTGACGCAAACAGGGTTGCCACTACGCGACAGAAGACCTCTCATGGTGCTGTACCTTCCGAATGGCTTGATGCAGCCGTTATACCGTCGGCCGACGCGAACGGAGCCCAGGGTGAGGGCCCGCGGACGGGTGTGGAGAGCGCGGTTAGCCCCCGCACAAACCCACTCAAGCGTATGGACTTCTCAACCGTAAAGCTTTCTGTTCATATCTCGTATAACTAACTGCGTTTATAGGTTCGGCAGACGAGCTTAGTAATGGACTGCCAACACCAGTATCGGAAGCGTCTCCTATTAACCCCATAGTGGAAGCCATGACAGGAACCGTAAAGGATGCGCGCAACGCCGAAGAGGCTCGACTTAGGAAACGGCTGAAGCGCATAGAGAAGGGCACCGACAAGGACAAGGAAGGCGGTGATAGTACGTCGCGAGCCGGGTCTGTGGCACCAGGCACACCTGGATCGATGGCACCGGATTCAGGTGAGGTGAAAGCTCCTACGAAGAAGGAGAGCAAGAAGGCAGCGAAGCTCGCGGAGGCGAGCAGTACGACGGTGAATCAAACATTGGGCCTGTTTGCAGGTGGCAAGAAGAAGAAATATTCGTGGATGACGAATTCAGGCGGCCCAGGCAGCGGCGCAAGTACTCCTCGACCTCAAGCTGCGGGCGCACCGGCCACGCCAGGTTCCGCAGCCGCAGCTAGCAGCAAGGCTCCTCGTGGACCCCTGACGAAAGCGGGCGTCACGCACCTCGGGCAGTTCCGCGAGGATTCGGATAAAGGAAAGAATATCCAACTTCGTGACTGGGTCGTCGTTATAGAAGAACGCGGCTTCGATATGAAGGCCCTGCAGCAGGCTTATGACATCTTGGACAGGTCTGCCAAGGGCACGGTAGAGAATACGTCGTGATAGTAGGCAGTCGGCCTTGAGACTTTTAAGGAATTGACAGTATAAAACAACAGGGGTCTTCCGAAGTGAGCGCGACCTAAAAGCGGCCGAGTAATGAAATAAAAAGGGGTTAAGTTTACTTTTCCGGGGGGGGGAATATTATACCCTCTAGAGCACTTCGCGTTGTATTGGTATACATATTTCTACATTTCACAGCCAGGCGTTGGCATCAGAGGGCATAACAGGGGGGCACGGTTGGCTTTTGCATTATTTTTTTTTCTGGTTTTGTTTTCGACCTACCTCCGCCGACAGGACAGTCAGCCTCTAGCGGACGAGGAGAAGAACAGACGATCCGAATGAGAGGTTCGTGAAGGGACGACCTCGACAGTGTGTGTTGGTGTCGATATGGTATAAGATGGAGCCCACTAGGCCTAATTTTGTGTTTTCTACCTACCTACCAGTAGCCCGGGGCCGGCTAGCTGATCACAAGGCTATGCCTAGCGGCCAGGATGGATGGATGGATAACATTCGGTTGTTTGGCTGGGTGAGCGGCGTAGATATCTAGCTAGCTAGGTTAGATGGTTCGCGAGAATGGCCAGTGAAATACGCGCGAGCGCTCATGCGATGAGGGTTTTATTTTCTAGAGCGGTGCTGTGATGTGTACCTAAGCGTATAAATGAAATGATATATATATACATACCTATATGTGATTCCCGTGATACCTGATTATTTACCTAGGTACCTAGTTATCCATAAGTGTAAATATTTACATTAGGTACCTACATACCGCTGTAATTCGGCCCCTTATCCCAAGACATCGGACGGAAGTGGGGAACTATAGCCTTGACCTTCCCCGATTTATTTGACATCACGTCAAGAAACCTCCGAATGGCTTGATGCATTTTTATTTTCCGGTCTTATGCTTTTATTTTTTCCCCTTAACTAACCTAACCTAACCTAACACTTTCGATCCGTCGTAAATTTAGAAAATTGGACGCAGGGTCGGTTACTTTGTTTGTTTCATCGGAGTATTTTATTATTATTTATAAATTAGTTATCGGATTCACGTGCGCTGTTTTACAGGACGAGGATTGGACTAGGACCGATTTTATTGTGTATATACCTACCTAGGTTAAGTATATATATATACAAAGAGTATATATAACGCCGAGATGGCCAAGGCGGTAAGATTGATAATGTCCCCTTTTGGTGTTTATATTCTAGTTATAGGAAGTGGATAGGGATAGTCAAGGGTGTATGAGGAGATATAGATAGGTATACGCGACTAACTATTCTATAGGCGATAGGGCAGATATGCTCGTCCAACTCGATGGCGCATAATCTTGAGCAGTGCATTAAGCTCGTGGGCCAAGCCGCGGCTGCTGGAGCGAAAGTATGTAAAGGGCTATAAGTTCAACTTTTCACTTTCTGTCCCGCGAGGGTGAGATATTAGCCGTAGCATAGCCATGCTCAAGTTCGTTATATATAAACACCCTATGAAGGACTGCATATAATATCATATCCCAAGCCTTCAGCCCCCCTCCTATCCTACAACATCTACTAACTAACCCCCCCCCAGGTCCTCTTCCTCCCCGAAGCATCCGACTACATCGGCTCCTCGGCCCAAGAATCCCTCTCCCTCGCCAAACCCCTCAACACCTCACCCTTCGTATCGGGCCTGCGCTCCGCCGCCGCAAAGCACAAGCTCGCCGTACACGTCGGCATCCACGTGCCTGTCTCCGTGAAGCCGTCTCTCTCTCCCAGTAACACAGTCTTGTCTTCCGTCCCGCACTCCGAGGACCCGGATTCTATTCCTTCTTCTACTTCTACTTCTACTTCCTCTTCTTATTCTACTTCGTCGGTACCAGCATCCAAGCCATCAGAACAAGTAAACCCCAAAGAAGGAATAGCAGAAGAATCCTCCTCCCCCCCCAAAACCAAACTCTACAACCGCACCATCCTCATTAACCCAGACGGCACCCTCCACCCCACAGCCTCCTACAACAAACTCCACCTCTTCGACTACCCCGACGCCTCCCTCCGCGAATCCACCACCACCCAAGCCGGATCAACCTTCACGCCCCCCTTCGACACCCCCCTCGGGCGCATCGGCAGCCTAATCTGTTTCGACCTACGCTTCCCGGAGCCCGCCCTGCACTTAACAACAACAAACACCAAATCCTCCTCCACCACCCCCTCCCCCCCAGCCCAAATCCTCCTCTACCCCAGCGCATTCACCATCCCCACCGGCCTCGCCCACTGGGAAACCCTGCTCCGCGCCCGCGCCATCGAGACCCAATCCTGGGTCATAGCCGCCGCCCAGGTCGGCACCCACAACCCGGGCTTGTCGCCGCGGATGAGCTACGGCCGGAGCATGGTCGTCGATCCCTGGGGGCGCGTCATGCTTTCGCTGAAAGGGGTGCGCGAGAAGAAAGGGGAGGGGGAGGGGGAGGATGGGTACGAGGTTGAGGACGGGGCCGTGGGCGAGCTGGGACTGGTGGATGTGGATTTGGGCGTGTGGGAGAAGGTTCGCGAGCAGATGCCGCTTGTGAGGAGGACGTATGTTACCTACCCCTTTCTCTTCTATACGATACTTCTCCTTAATAACAAGTCGGCCTACCTCGTTCCGTTTACTGACTAATATTTCTTATAGGGACGTTTACCCGGAAGTATAAAGCCGTCAGGGGAAATATAGAAAATATAGACATTATGGCACGAATTACTACGATAATTCACAAGTCGCCGCATAAGAAACAGATACAACGACTTGATGGTTCTGTATTAACCCTTGTAGCTCAGCTTATGTACCGACTCAAAAGGCCAAAGCCATCTACAAACACCAAGCCAGCTATTGCAGTTGTTTTGTCTTTTCTCGAGTACCCTACCTAAACGGTCGTACCTCAAGAGTTATTTGTATGTATCAACGCCTCCTCGCAAGAAACCTTGCCTGCGTTCGAGCCGAAACTACCAGGCCCTCTTTTTCGTCTCGAACGTAAAATCGTGTGATCGTGCTCGTGATGCGAATGCAAGAATTGTACCTGTCCCCTTACCAAACCACCCTTACGCCATTGCTAGGAGCCTCAACTCAAATCATGCCTATCGAGCTCTGGAGCATGGCAAAACCGCGTCATTATCCACCAAGTTCCCGCGCGTGGAAAAAGAAAAACCAGATCATGCAACTGCCGTATTAATACATTGCTAAATGATGTTGCGTTTGAGGGTACGAGTAGGAAGTCATGAATGTAAAGACGATTTGTCGACTGTGCGACATTTGCATATGCTGGACGTGCTAATGTAAATCATTGAGCTGTGGGTGAGCTGTGGGTTGGCGGTATGCGTTCCCTCTTCCTCGAGGGGCAAAGCCACGACCGCGAGGGCCGCCGCGTCCGCCACGACCCCGGCCGCGGTAACCACCACGGTAGCCACCATCGACGCTTCCCTGGCCAAATGTCTCCATGTTCTTGCGCTGCTCCTCGCCGCGCCACTCTCGTCCGCCAGGCTTCTGACCGCCGTTCTCGGCACGATCCTTAGCCTCGCTGGAGATATTGTCGAAAAACGACCTGGTCTTGTTATAGGCAACAGGGGGTGTGGAATCATCGGTCTGCACTTGCTCTGGGGCTGGAGCATTAGGGATGACCTCAACGAGAGGCGAGCCAGCGACAGCCTCTTTCACGAGATCTTGCTTGTTAAACTTTGCATTACCAGCTTCGAAGTCGAAGTCGGAATCCGGAACGTTGATCTTGCTTGGCCCGCCGGAACGACCACCTCGGCCACGTCCCCTACCGTTTGCCGAGGGCCTGGGAGCGTTCATCCTCATCTCGTTGACCTTCTTGGTCAAGTTGTCCATTGCGCTACCATTCGGTGCAGGGGGTTCAGCAGCGGCAGAGTTGTTAAGCTTCGCCATCGCGACAGCAACGGCTTCTTTTGCGGCTTGGGTGGCATCTTTAAGTGCAGCCTGAGTAGCAGCTTGCCCGCCTACAGCTTTAACTGTAGAAGCGGCGGCAGTAACTTGGGGGGCGATTTTCGGAGTGACTGCGGCCTGAATCGGCACAGCAGGGAGGACTCGATTGTTCTTAGGGCCGGTTGGAACGGCCTTCTTCTCAGCGACATTGGTCGGAGGGACGTTCGCTGTTGATAGAGATTCTGCAGTAGCTTTGACTTCCGCTGCGGTAGGTTTCGACTCGACCGGCGGGGTCGGGGCGGCGCTCGTTGAGGCGGGCTGAATAGGTTGCTGTGCAAGTGACTTAGGTTCCGTAGGTAATTCAACCGCGGGGTTACCAACCAGTCTTTGTTTGTCGACGCCTGCGCCGATAGGAGCAGGCTTGTTACTGTTCTCCTGCTGGGGTGTTCCTCTCATTCCTTGGCCAGGGACACCGGGCACGCCAGGGGGTCCTTGAGGTCCTTGAGGTCCTTGAGGCCCTTGAGGTACAGGTACAGCCGGGTATCCAAAGCTATTCCACGGACCGGGACCTCCAGGTCCACCAGCCGGGAAACCTTGGCCGGGAGGAAACCAGCCGGGAGGGGGTGGGTAGGGCATTCCATGAAAGCCTTGACCCGGAACGGGACCAGGGCCACCACGTCCCCATTGTCCAGGAGGCGGAGGATAGAACGGGTTGGGTTGATACGGACTTTGGCCGTAGCCTGGAGCTCCTGGACCAGGTGGAATGGCACCTGCAGGACGAGTACGAGCCTATAGTGGAGAGCATGTAGTTAGCATTAATGCTTCATAGTATAACAGCTCCATATTTTTAATTTAAAAATATTTTAATTCCATGATAGCTCAGAAGGAAGGCAACGGAAATATCAACACGGGGTTTTTGCGCTTTTCAGACAAGTAATACTTTACATCCGAAATGTTTCGTCATAGCAATGGACATGGCTTTGTAGAACGGAGTAGAGATGGGGCAACTTACTCCAACGATAGCAGGATCATCTGGAACCTTGGGAGGTTGGTTCTCTTTTGGAGGAACAGGAGCTTGCTCGATTCGCAGGTCTTTCACGTCACTACCGCGAAAGACGATGTACTCGTAAACTTGCTCAGAAGGTGCTATCTCTTCTTCTGGGCTACCCTTGCGGCCCTCGGTACCGAACGATCTGACATTTTCCAGAGAAACTGTCGACTCTTCTGAATTGATCTCGTGCAATACACCCGAATAGCTATTAAGATTAGAGGCGGGGCTCCAATGTAGCACCGTTGGCTTGGGGGGAGGTTTACCGGATATCACTCTTCGAGATGAGGGATATGCGAGAGCTGCGTTTGCATTGGGGTTAGCGGACTAGGTTTATTTGGGATCTTGCTGTAGCTGAGCAACATGAGGTTGAGGATGAAGATGAGGTTGAGGATGAGGATGAGGATGCGTACCCAAGAAATTCAGACATGGTGTGTGTGTTAAAAGGTATGCGCGATGCCGCGCACAGGAGGAAGAAGTAAATGCAATGAAGGTAACTGGGTAAGTAGAAATAAATTGCTGTAACGACGTTCGAAAATTACGAAAAATAAATGCAATTTACCGTTGAAGGTGGAGGAGGAGGAGGAGGAGGTTGGATGAGATAGGGTTGAAAGGAAGAGAGAGGAGGCTGAATTTCCCGGTGCGAAGAATTAAAATTTCAACAAACCGCACCGTTAGCACCAGCCCCGTTAAATGAGGTTGTAAGGATTTTTTCCTTTTGATCCATGTTGGGTGGTTCCATTCCATGACAGGTGCCTTCACTTGCCAGATGGATGTCAATATGTATAAGGTGCGCCACTTTTTTATATATACGAAGTACTTGAGGTCATCTGCTTGCTAAGCCACAGCCACATCGTCCGTACCAAGGTTGTTTGCTGCAATACATCTACGTTGGAACTAACTGCCAACAAGATGCCTTCACTTATTACTATTGTTCCAACAGGCTTACTTTCTCTATTTACATCAAATAGACTTGCTATTGTTTGCCCAAGGTTCACGAGCAAGGCGCCTAGGGCATCCCATTTTTCTATTCAATACTACCTACCAATACACCTGTGAAAACGCCTACTCTACCACATATATGAATGTGACAATATTGAGCTGTGAATTATTTACGTCAATACCAATAACAATACAATAGAGTAGCCGTACTATTAGATAACAAACTCAAACCAGTCACAGAGAATTCAATTCGCAATATCAGAAGAAATTCCCATTAAGGAACTATTATTAACTAACACACATTACTCTGACATGTCAGAAGAATCTGACCCTGAACTACTCGTGGTATCATCATCATCATCATCATCCTGTCCATCCAATTGCTCATCCATAGCCTCTCCCTCCTCTCCGCTCGAGTATCCAACCAAATCAGAACCTTGCCGCTTCCTAGATTTTCCAACCCTACTCTCAACAACATATCCTTTAGGGACGGCCGCCGAGTTAGCTGGCAATACACATATGGTAGGGAATTCGACAATGTCGAGCCCGGGCAGAACGGTAGCCAGGTTGTCGGTCGGTCGTAGTGGTATGAGTCTTTGCACCTCCCTAGAAGGTGTCCTTGGCTTGAGGTAGAAGAACCGGTATTTATCCTTCAGCCCCTCGATCGTTTGTGACCCTGAAATTGTATTGTTCCACACGGCCGTTTTCGAGTCCTGCATAACATAATCCCCGCCACTCCAAGCCGTCGTAGCCACTTCTTGGCCGCCCCCGGTAATTATTTTCTTGTCCTCCAAGGATCTTTGTTTCTTCTCCTGTGTACGTTCTTGGTTGCTTAGATGGCGTTGGCGATGGTATTCTAGTCCCTCTGCGAATCCAACGTAAAGAGGGACTTCGTCCCGTATCTTGTGCAAAATTCTCGAGGGTTCCGTATCGGGTTTTCCCTCAGCAGGGCGAATAGATTTCCACTCAAGCCATTCGACTTGCCAGTTCATTGTCCTCGTGCGCTTATTCCAGCTCGTTTTGTTCTCTTTTGCCCGAGTCATGCCGTAGGGAACAGACGCAACGCGGATGCCCAGCTGCCGCATCCGCTGCATTGAATTCTTGTCCCATCTCCGCGAATTCTGCTCAAATGTAACCCTTCCTCGACTTTGGCCCTTATGGAGACGTGCTCTTTTGTTAGGTGGGGGTCGCGATGCGGTGTCATCTTGCGGTAGTATGTCCTTTTCTTCCTTGAGTATCTTCTCGACTCGTTCGACGGATCTTTCGATTTTGGTTAAAAAGTTGTAGTCGTGGTCGATGCCAGCATCCGTCTTTAGCTTCTCCCGCGGTATGTATACTGTGGGATCGCGTTCTCCGTTGCATGATGACCATTTCTTATGCTTCTTCACACAGGCTAAGGAACATGTTCGGGTTCCGCATCGAGGGCATTTGTATTTAGGAGACTGTATATGGCAGATGGTGCAGAGTGATGTTAGTAAGGGGTCCGCCATTGGAAGGATCTAAGGTATGGATGATGTAAATAAGGAAGTCGCGACGTTGTAAAGTTGAACGTTTAGCGAAACTTAATACGAAATATTTACTTGTACATGTAAGAAGCGCCATTGCGATCATTAAACGCTAATACATGCAGACTTGAGCTTCGAAATTCTAGAATCTTATCTTATCGATATCTAGCCGCCTGCATTCCTTATCAATATCGGGCTACCTAGCAGCGCAGCGTCATTCCCGGTAGCCATGTGCGAAATCTCCTATTAGATGGGAACTCATCTCTAGTTTCTTGCATACTATTGCATATTGGATCTTGATATAAGTTACAATTCTGCAGCGAATAGAATAAACTCCTGCTCGAAGTAATTTACTGGACCCTACGTCTTGGGTTTAATCCGGCCGTGACGCGATAGTACCGATATATTATGCGAGATATTGTGTTACGAAGACATAGACGTATTTAACACCAACAACTCTCAGCTTGATCATCGTCACCTACGCCATCAATCTTTTATTTTAAATCGTTTATAAAAGAGATGGATTTATTAGATATTCAACTTTAAATTCAGCTTCAAACTCCCTGCATTATTTTTTTTTCTCTTTAGTATTATCATGACCAATCAATCTAATCAATACCTATTCTATAAGTGTACATAGACAGTGTATACACTGTATCAATTATCTTATTGATATTTTTCCCTAACTATGTAATCCGAACTTAATGTGCATGACTCTCAAAGAAGTATTAGCTGGTAGTCGCCTGGTCAGAATCCAACAACGCTCTTTTCTAAACTTCCAGATATTTCCATAACAATAATTTCATAAACTTGGCTCATGGCTCTACAATGACGGATACAGATTTGAAAATCGACCCGCAAAGAGCCGCTGCTCTAGTATCGCAGATCAAAACCGTGCGTGAGCGAATCGCTGCTGTGGCCAACGGCCGCGATGTAAGTCACAACCATCCCTCGGTAGCATTACCAGAATTAAGGACCCAAGTATATTCGAATGCACTCATTTCAATACATTATTTTGGTTCTACCTTTCTCTATTCCCTTGTGAAAAACTCATATTATATGCTACACCGCTTCTCCCACTCTCATGAGTTTCTTGACTCTATTTATATCCAGATAAGTAACGTTAGCTAACTCCATCATCGTAGGTCCGCCTAGTCGCTGTCTCAAAGTTGAAGCCAGCCAACGACATCCTCGCATTGCTGCAGCAGGCTTCACCGCCGCAGCTTCACTTCGGCGAGAACTATGCCCAGGAGCTGAGCCAGAAGGCCGAGCTGCTGCCACGCAGTATACAGTGGCATTTCATCGGCGGCCTACAGTCTGGTAAGGAATTCATTCTCATGTTTCCTTTCCTGTTTCTTGCTCCTAATTAAAGGAGAATATGGTAACATACGTATCATGATATATCATTATAATAAAAATTGAGGCTAGGCGACGAGAGGTTAATATATAACTATGAGGAAGCCTTCCCCGACCATACCACCCCTATTTATCTATAACACTCATCAAACTCCCCTTACTAACACCCCCAGGCCACTGCAAATCCCTCGCCAAAATCCCCAACCTCTTCAGCGTCTCGAGCATCGACACCGAGAAGAAAGCTCAACTCCTAGACAGATACCGCGGCGAATACCTCTCGTCCCTCTCTTCATCCTCCTCCTCCACCACTATCACATCCCCTTCTTCCCCCCTCCCCGGCAAAATCAACATCCACATCCAAGTCAACACCTCAGGCGAACCCAGCAAATCCGGCTGCGCCCCCGGCGCCGCCACACTATCCCTCTGCCGGACCGTCGCCGCCCTCCCCAACCTGCATCTGCTAGGCCTAATGACGATCGGCGCGATAGCGCGCAGCGTCGCCACGACCCCCGAGACGGAAAACGAGGACTTTTTGTGCCTGCGCGAGCAGCGCGACTTAGTCGCCGCCGAGCTGGGATTGGCGCCTGAGGAGCTGGAGCTGAGCATGGGTATGAGCGAGGACTATGAAGGGGCTATTGTTGCGGGGAGTAGTGAGGTGCGTGTTGGGAGTACGTTGTTTGGTGCGCGGGGACCGAAGAGCGAGGCTAAGATTAAGGTGTAACTTACAGTATCTGCCTTGACATGTGGTAGTGGTATGTAGGTATAGACAGACCCCTAGCCTAAACGTATATCTAGCATAGGATACAGTCAGGGGGCGTTTACGAGGACTAACCTATCTCACAAAATTCACGAAGAATAAAATAACACATTATCAAGTATACTAAACCCCAGTCATAGTAATAACCATCCGTCGTGGATCATCGTTAAATACTCGTAATGCTCTAAACTGCTCCTCTCCATCCTGCGTCGACCCTACTTACTCCATGCCTGCTCGCATACAAGTCCAAGTCCAAGTCCAAGTCCAAACCAAGTTAGATATCTCATATATCTCTACCATGCCCCTGATTAAACCCAATGGTATACACGTAATCACTCTCATTCGCCCCATAAACTCAGACATAACGACATGAACACACGTCAAGAGAAACGAAGAAATCATTCCTGCGCAACAACAGGCACAACAACATTCCTCCACAGCTCCCTCTTCTTCTCATCCTTACTCTCCGTCCACTCCTTCTCCACCTGTGCATACTCGTCCCACCACAGCTTATGCGTCGACTCGATAGTATCATTAGCATCGTAGCTGCGGCTCTTCCACGGCTTATTTAAGATATAATGTAGAATCTTAACATGCTCATCCTTCCAGAGACCGCTGTGGCAAGCACGCATGGGTTTTAGGGCGTTATAGTGGTACGGTAAGGGCTTCCAGCGGCCGCGGTACACTATGGCGAGCAGATCCTGATCGAAGAAGATCATGTTGGGGACGTCGGGGTGGGTGTTCATAGCGTCGATCAGCGCGTCAAACTGCGCCTTGGACGGCTGGAGGATGACTGTGCCGCTGTTCAGCAGGTGGTGGTTATTCGGGCTCTGGGGTGTGATAAGAGCTGGCTGGCCCGTCTCTTGGTCCGCGGCCGTGAAAGCGCAGTTAGCAGGGACCCAATCCTTGCTGTAGTGCGGTAGCTTCCGCGGGTTGCAGGTGCAGGCGTGGGTGCTCGCGATCCAGCCCTCAGGGATGTCGACCTCCATCATCTCGTCGATGTTTTGCAGAATGACCTGGTCGCTGTCGAGGAGGACGACGCGCTGTTGACAAGACACAATTTCAGTCAGCCTTCTGCTCTTACATAAATCTAATAACTATATAGATATATATATATCTGTATAATGAATATGACGGGCACTAGATAATTACCTTGTACTGTGTAAACGACCACGGGGCCAACTTCTCCCACGTCCCCTTATTAATCTTGCCATCGCGAGGCGCCGGCTCGATCTTGTCGACGACGATAGTGGAAATACCGGCAGCAGCAAAAGCATCCATGTACTCAGTATCCTCTTCGACTGCGCGGGTCACCATAACGACGAGCCGGTACTTGCTGCGATGTCGGCGCAAAGAGTGGTGAAGCACCAGCAAACCACCGAAATAGCCGCGGTTCGTCAGCAGCGTCGTCCAGATCTTAGTCGGATCGTACCAGCCATTCTCGCCGTCGCCGTTCTTGTCGCCGTTCTTGACGCCATTCTGGCCGTTTGTAATACCGTTGCTCGCCATTGTATTCTTATCTATCGTCTCTCTTGTCTATGACTTGGCAAGTTTGGTAAGAGGAGAGGAAAGCAAGCGCAGAAGAGGGGAGCGGGGAGCACAGATAGGCAACGAAGGTGACAAGATAAAAAGAAAAAAAAAGAAAAGAGAAAAGGGTACTATCTATTTTGTGTATTGTATTACGCCTATATCCTATCCCACCTCGTATCTCCTTCACCTTATGTATAGGTAACCCACAGACGGACTCGGGACGCAAATCGCGCGCGTAGTTTAGCTTACCTCCATACGGCATAGCACCTACATGATGTAAGTACATACGCAAGATAGCGGGAAGGGGAGAGAGATTATTAATAATATAGGTAGTGAACTCCTCATCCGAGTCTAGGCTGGAAGTTTACTAACATTACATGTAATCACCTATAAAAGAGGTACTAAACAAAGGTAGCAGTGGGCAAACCTCGGCGATGAAAAGATAGGAAGGTAAGACTATGTATAGGTACACTAGTTAGGTATGTACCTGGGTGATAATGCCCCTGCCGTCCCTACCTGCATGAAGCTAGGCTTGGATAGATACATTAAGTAGGTAGTAGATATGTAGATCGATCCTTACCTTACCTAGCTTACCTTAGCCTCTGACGCCATCGAGAGTATAAGGCGTGGTCGGACTAAGCCCCCGCATTGGTTTAAGTATGTGCATACATGTATTGGTTCAAACAGATGTCCCGGCATAATTCAAAACGTACCTATCTATCCGGAGCTCCGACGTAGGCCGAGCTCGATTCAAGAGTTTCGGTTTGTTCCGGTTCAGGAGGGGATGATATATAAGCAGTATTATGTAAGTTGTCATATGTTTCCAGGTAGTTTATTCTATATCCATCTACCGATCTACATAACTTGTCACTACATAATATTCTCAGCAATTCTAACAACTAGAAAATCATATTCATATACCTGAAACACGCAGACTAAAATCAAAACATCAACAACAAGCGGTAAGACGTGTGACTAACTGTCCACGCATAGCATGCCTACTGCATATATGCGGAGACAAGCAAAAAAGAAATACGGCAACATCGTCCATTGGCGCGTCGGATCTCAGGGGCATATGTATAATGATCCGCATAGGGAGGTAGTAGGTACCGACACGGCAACTCTCCTTTGCAGCGGAGAAAAATGCGCTCGTTGGTGTGCTCCTATCGCCTAACCCCTATCATTGGCTAGGACTATGTCTCAATACCTACCTGTTACGGGGAAAGGTTATAGCAGCATTACATCGCTCAAGCTTCCATAAAATCCTAGAGTTATAAAAAGGCACTATATTTTTTACCCTTCTCATTCATGAACAATAGAGATATAAGAGGGTATATTAGCAAAGCTAGGTAATTAATAGTGTTCATACTAAAGAAAGGCCTTGAAATAAGCAAAGCAGACACAAATATTAGTCTATAATGCAGTACACGAACCAGCTCGGGGCATGGGCAACTAGGTAGTCAAGCTATGGATAAGCTAGCCAATTAAAGAAAGCTTGGTATACACATCAGTCTTGAGGACATTCATGACTCATGAATCATCAGCATTAACCTAACTCATGTCTCACTCTCACCGCACTGAAAAGACATATGCACAAGGTTAGAAAGAATCAATAACCATGCCTCCTCCTTACATACCGAATCCAATCCTGCTTTTATCTCATCTGCAATCAACAAGACCAGAGCATAAGAAATCTACCTCGTCAGAAACCCTTACCTCCTCTTCCTAGGGTAGACTCCCCTAGACCCCTCCCTTTCGCAAGACCCCATTATACGCCTAATCCACATATACCGCTCCGGTATCCGCGAGGACAAGCATATCACACCGATTTCTTGCTTCCATAACCCGTAGCCGTCTTCCACAGGGCTACTAGAACACGACATACAGTTGAAAAGGGATTCGCTACACCGTAAGACGCATCTGAAGTCGGGTGATCGACGCAGGGCGTCCAGACTAAAGGGCGCTCGGAATGGGGGCAGTAGATGTGGGGCTCATCTGTGCTCGTAGACGTAGTTGTCGCCGATGATGCGGGGATGGGTGCTGCGGTCATGGAAATTGCCGGAGCTGTACCGTGGCTCAGGATTGAACTTGAGCTTGTACCCGTACCCGTACCCTCGCTCGAGGTGGAAAGGGAGGTAGGAGTAATCGAGGAGGTAGAAGTCGACTCAGGGGGGGCTGTGATAGTGACATAAACCGTGGTGGCCAGGTCCCTCTCCACAGCGGTCTTCGCTGTAAGTTCGTAAGTAGGGGTTGAACCTGTAGAAAGATCCGATACGACGTCTCGTCCGCCTGTCCCCGAAGTCACCGCTAAGAACTCGTTAACCACAAGGACTCATATGCAAACAGGGGCATTCTAGTATCCCGCCTCAAGCAAACTTACCTCCCACCGTCATCTCCGTATTGAATTCCGTAGGCTTTAGACTCAACAGATCGCCCTCCTTGCCTGTGCTCGTGACATCAATCCCTCCAGCAACCTCTAGATTCGGGGGCGCAGGTAGTACGATCGTAGTGGCCGTCGCCTCGTTGGCCAAGGTTAGGTGGTGTATCGCCTCGGCGGCGATGCCGCACCATCCAGCTACACGCAGAATCACTATTCATTAGCCCAACCCGTTAGGCCTTTCTAAGGACTATAAGTACGAGGGTAGATAGAACTTCGCACTCACCGATGATAGCACCGGTCGCGGTAGTAATGATGGCCAGGAAGAGAAGCCACGCGCGGGGGTACTGCTGTGGAGTGACTCTGCGCTTGAGATCTGGTGATGGGAAGGTGTGTTAGCATTGAATTTTTTTCTATGTATGTTTATTCCTCTCGCCTTTTTGCAATTATCCCATCATAACGAAACTAGAAAGAGGAGGGATTAGGAGAATTAATACTTACCAGCCCATACATCCCGCATGTGCTCCATCTTCAACGACATCCTGCTTCCCACGAGTGAGCGTCCATTCACCTGACTCTTCTCACTCGACTGAGTCGCAGCAATCATAGTTGGGGCCGGAGTCACAGGCGCGAGTAGCACACGCTGGTGTCGAAGGAGGACCTGTCTACCAGGCATGACCGGATCGATGGAGTCCGGGTGAGGTTCTAGCTTGTTGTCCTGCACATCGTGCGAGTGGTCTGGTCCTGGTCCCGGTCCCGGTACTGCCACCGGTGGAAGTTGGCTAATCTCGAGGCTGTCTTTCTCTGCTGTCATGGCTGCGGTGATGAGTGCCGATATAGATGTAAGTGGTTTAAGTAAAGAAGAAGGGTATTATTGGAAGCGTATTGGGTGGGTAAATGGCTAAGTCTATGCGTGTCACAGAGGTTATCTCAAGAAGTAGGGGGGAGTAAGTAGGTGGATTAAAGGCTTGAACCCTCTTACTCGCATCCTATGCGTGATGGGAAAACGAGCCTGGATAAATCCTAGATGTATGAGAAAACAGGTAGGCACATATATGTAAGTACCTAAGATAAATGTGAAAGCAGCAGGTAGCAAGGTAAGTACTCAAGTTACTAAGCGCATCATCACCGGGGGCGATAGGGGTAATACACCGGGGCTGATGCTGTGGAAACTATATTACATGAATTTGCTATAAATGCAGTCACGATCCCCATGGGCTCCTAGACAAGTAGCCATGAGAGAGCTGGTACTAGAGAAGCAGGAAGGGATGACGAGCAACATTTCCCCCTACACTACAAGAAATCAACTATGTGAACATTATAATGGGGACTAAAACAGTCTAATCTTGTGAGGACTTCACCTTCACAAGCGAATAATAACACAACAAATACCTACGTACAAAGGTTATCCATCATCGTATAAGGAGGTAGATAAGGGGGTAATCGTTTACTTCTAGTAACACAGCCGTCTTTGCTTGATACACGTAAGATCACGTATTACCTACGAACTCCTTTTTCGCTCGGGCTGGAAATGCACAAAACCGCATAACTGTTTAACTTGGCTTCCCAACGGTATCATACCTCCGAATCTCGAGTCCCCTTCCGACCAATTACCACCCTCCTCCTCTTCCGCTCTCATCTCCTTTCTTGCCGGCAATACCTTATTGAACCATTACATTAGCAAAGGTATCCGATATCTCTTGACGTGTTGGCGCTTCGCGAAATTCTGGCGCTGTGGAAATTCCTACTGATAGCCTCTCTTCCATCAGCTTCAATAATACAGGGGGCACACTTTCATCCGTGGCACGGACTGTCAGTCGAACCATCTATTGTTTGTTAGCCGAATTACCTCAAATGTTGCAATAATATCGGAATTGTCTTACCTGTGAAGCATAATTTGGCTCCAGTCTCATTAGACAGCCAAACTTGCCTCCTTCAGCGGTGTGCAGTACGCTAGCTCCGACAAAATTCTTGCTATTCGGATCAACACCGTTAAGTATACCCCAGCGGAACCCTTGAATCGTCTTGCGAACGAAGTCTTCCGTTATTTCTCGCGACTTAGATTTACCGGGAGCAAGGCCGATAATTTGCTGGGCCTCGCGCGGTGGACCACCGATTTGCTTCCATCTCTTAAAGAAGTCATCTGCTGTGAGATCCGCAGGATCCATAAACTTATGGGCCGTGAGCGGGAGCTTCAATGTAAGGGCTTGTAAGGCTCCCGCGAGGTAACTTATCCTAATAGTAGGGCTCTTCGTGAACACTTTCTTCGCCTCGAACATGATGATCAACCGTGATTGCGCGCCTTGCATGATAGAACTCTCAGGCATAGATTTGACGTCCCATGTTAGATTCTCCTTCTCACTCTCGTCCAAGTCCAGCGTTGTTGTAAAAGAGCTCACGGTAGCCGGAGTCTTGTTCGTGAAATATAAGATAAGACATGCCATCTGCCCTCTGTATTCGGAGCGGATACCAACTTGAAGCTGTCCATCTTCGAAAAGTACACCGTCAGCCTTAAGCAGCAATTTATTGTATCCCGATTCCCAGCCTGGTGACAGATGCGCGGCGCTGGCCAAGTTTGGCACCTTAAGCAGCTTCTCGGGAACAGGCCCCGCGTTCATGTCAAGACCGGCAAGATCGTTGGAATGGCCGTTGGCACCGTTTGCCGAGCCATTAGCTGAGCCATTACCATTCACTGGGCCGTTAGAACTAAAAGTCCTCCTAAGACCAGGGTTCTTGGCCATATTCAACTCTACGGCATCGCTGTTTGCATCCTTGCCGCCAACCACCCAGGTTCGCTTATCACTAGTACCAGCGTGCTTCTGGTGGAGCCTTGACAAGAGTGCAGATTGTCGCTCGGGGAATGGCGGCATTTCATCGCAGACCGTTCGAAGTAAGTCGTCTGTCGGAAGGCTTGCAAGAGTTAAGTACTCAAAAGCTCGTTGTTGCAACTCCGGGTCTAACGTATGGCTATATAGCTCAAAGACGTGTAGAAGTTGCGGCTTGATCTCGGGGAACAAATTGACAAATTTGACAAACGAAGAGAGAATCATGGCGCGGGTACTCGAGGAACAAGCAGGTAGCTTTCTTGACAAGGCCATAAATTGCTCAATGGGACTGCAACCAGCCTCTTCTGCAATTAAGTGACCAAACTCTCCGAGGATATAGGCTCCGATTTTCACTAGAGTCTCGTGACAGTGGTCTTGCTTGACATGCTGTAACGTGTTGTGCGCCGCGTAGACTTGTAGCTCCTCGTTGTTCGTCACAATCTGGATCACTCGTTGCCAGACCTCATCGCTGAGATGGTCACCTGCTATAGCTACCAGGCGAAGAGAGACATTAATATACCATTGGATGTCGGTAGCATATTTCTCCGTCAAGATTGCAATCTTCAAAGCCATCTCTTCTCGGATCGCAAAGTCGGCGTTCTGTAGATAGTGAAGTAGTTCCGATACTATCGGCACAGAATTGGTCGAATCGCACATACTATATAGCAAATCGAGACCCTTTCTGCGGACGCTAATATCGCGGTCCTTAAGAGATCCGAGGATCACTTCTTGGTGCTGCTTGATAGGATCGAGGTTCTCAGCTCGAGCCGCCAAATGCGTCATAGCTTCCAGTCCCAGGTACCGCACATTTGTCTCCCTAGACGTAATGAAACGGCCCAGGCGGGTAGATATCTGCTTCATCAACGCATGCTCCGTGTCTAGATGGATAATGAGGTTAATAGCCTCGAACAACACAGCATTCTGAGCATTGTTCTGTTGGACGTTCTTATTCGTCTCCATTGCTAGATTTAGGATCTTTTGTAACGACTCTCGGATCATTTCTCGGACGTGGCTATCCTCTATTTGGTTTGTCAGTTTCCGTATCAGGGATATCCACCACGGGACTAACTCATACCTGAGGGCGGGAAATATTGCAGTAACCGTAGTAGTTTGACTTGTATCCAAGGGCATGGAACTTTGTAGTACAGGTAGTCAGCAGTATAATCCCCATCGATCAATATTCGCTTCATCCGTGACGCAGCTTTAACGTAGGCACCCTTATACTGCTCCGAGTTATCCTGCGCGACAGCCATGACGAGTGACGTGACCGAAAGGGCTACTCCGAGATCGAGATCATCCATAAGAGAAATTATCCGTTCTGCCCATTGCGGTTGGATTATATCCGGGTGCTTGCGATATAGACGGAGGAGGGTAAGGGCGGCCTTCTTCTTCACGAACGCCTTCGAAGTCCTGTACTCGCTATTAGATACCACAGCTAGCTTCACCAAGGGATGACATACGGCGAAATCAGAAGTCTGTGAACCTCTGCACTCAGAGCCTCTCCCATCTCACGGCCTCCTACATTCGCGATCGCGTGTAAAGCCAAGCAGTTGAAGAGCTCGTTGTGGTCGAGGAGGTCCTTCCGTATGCTGTTCACAACTAGGTGTAATAACTCGTGCTTCTCGTGCAGGAAGAGCGTCATGGCTAGATATCCAATTTGCTTCTCGGAATACTTGTTCGCCGAAATCAGGTTGACAGCCTCGAGGTGTCCGAAGTCGACATTCCAACCTAGGATATAAATATACAACAACTATTGCCCAACGTCAGATCCGTTCGTGATTCGCGTAGAAAGTGGCTTCATCGTACTTTGCAAACGTATTTCTTCTTGTGGTAGCCGCTCAAATTACCGTCTATATTCCATTAGTCCAAGAGTCCTATGTTGACATTCCAGCGTCGCGCGAAGCTTTCATGTTCGCTCAGGTTAAAGCATAGCATACCCTTAAACTTTTGTCTGTAACGAAGAAACTATAGGTTAGCACCCCTATCCTCAATGGCAACTGGAAGATCAGTTTCCACGAACCGAATATTTGCCAACTCCTTGTTGATCCTTTTCTCCTCCAGGTCCCTAGCTCTCGCGTTTCTCAGGTCCGCGATAAATTGAACGAGACCACGCATGTTTGAGCTGCTGTTGCTCGACCGGCCAAGGAAGCCGGCCGCCGCGGAGGAAGCCATGGTGTAGTCGCAACAACGATTCCCCCTATTCTTACACAACACCCGCTATCTCCGTCGCATCCGCTTGTATAAACAATGGCGAAACGTAAAACTAATTTATATAGAAAGAAGTCGAATACAAATGTTTAGGTCCAATGCCGAGAGGAAGCACGCTTGAAAATGCGGCTCTCATGATAGACCAGGTCAGTCTATGAACATGGTCGAGCGTGACCAGGGCAAGCGGGAGACAGGGGGTGGAGGGACAGCGACGCGGAAACAAGTAGGGTTCGTGTCGAGGTCCGAGAGTCGGTCGGCAGGCGATTGACAATTCAGGATGAAATGTTTTGTCGAAATTTAGAATATCGCAGCTGGTGGCACAGCATTGGACGATTATCTACGGTGTCGGGTTCAGGGAAACATGGAATAAATCTGTAAATGGAATTGACAGCGGCCCTTTGGCGTCTTAAACCCCGAGCGGCGAAAGAGGAGAGCACCTGCCCTGCACTACCTGTGCTACCTGCACCACACCTTCTATTAAATCCAGTCAGCCAACCTAATCTATTAGTGGGATACCCGTGCAATGTCACCATTTGTGGGGCACATGATTTGCGCCTCGACCATACATTTGATTTGAATAAAACCTTCTTACGTAAAGTGTGGCTTGATTTTAAATATCGATGTACATTGACTTATCTCACTTATCGATATTACAATCTTCAAGCTTCCCCGACGTCAGAGCCAATTGATTATTTCGAGCTTCCCAAGCTCCAGATTTCAAAATTCAGGATGTGAACAAACGACCAATTGACGATGAATTACGGTCTCTGGAGGTCAACAATACCGCCAACACGGGTTTCGAAGGTAGCAGCAGCAGAAACAACAGCAGCAGCATTATCAAGAAGCTTCCAAATACCCAGGCGTTTCTACGCCATCCAAGCCGCAGCACCTCCCGTCCACCAAGTCTTCAACCGTCACACAAAATGGCTACAAAAAGAGCGCGCAGCCGCCCACGTCGAAAACAGTCGAGTGGCCGACTATCTGAAAGATGAAGTAGCCATCCGATTGTGCGACAGACTACTGGTGCGCTCTTATATATATACATACAAATGCTTTCCCTGCCGAATAAGGGACTAATACAAAAAACCCGCAGGACATCAAACGCAGCTACCCTTCGGTCCTCGACCTCGGCGCAAACTCCTGCAACATCGCGCGGGCCCTGACGCGGCCCGACCCGGACCCTAACCCCGAAGCGCCCGTGACCGAGCCCCTTGCCTCCCGCATCGGGCACTTGCTTGCCGTGGACTCGTCCGAGACCTTGCTGTACCGGGATGCCGACCAACCCTTCAACTCAGAAATCAACATGACGCGGCAAGTCCTATCTGACGAGGAGACGCTACCTTTCGAGGCCAACACCTTTGACCTGGTGTTGAGCTCGCTGAGCATGCATTGGATCAACGACCTGCCAGGCGTCCTAGCGCAAATCAACAACATCCTAAAGCCAGACTGTGCCTTCGTAGGCGCCATGTTTGGTGGTGATACCCTCTTTGAGTTACGTACTTCGCTACAGCTAGCCGAACAGGAGCGCCGCGGTGGTATTTCGCCGCATGTCTCGCCGCTAGCCGACGTGCGCGATGTGGGTGGTCTACTACAACGCGCTGGTTTCAAGATGCTGACTGTCGATGTTGATGACATCATCGTCGATTACCCGGATACGTTTGCGCTCATGCAAGATATGCAGGCCATGGGTGAGAGTAATGCCGTCCTCGGTCGCGAGATGGGCGGTATCCAGCGGGATGTGCTCCTAGCCAACGACGCTATCTACCGAGAGCTTCACGGCAATGAGGATGGATCAATACCTGCTACTTTCCGGATGATTTATATGATTGGATGGAAAGAATCAAAGGATCAACGTCAGCCATTACCTCGAGGTAGTGGAGAGATTAGTTTAAAGGATGTTTTCGAGAAGAAATAAATATTACCTGAACTCGTATTATTAATGCCTCTTGCATCTAGTTCTGTGCCTCGTAGTGACTTATTAGCAATTAGTAAACACATACATGTCCGCGTCCACCCTAACGACCCCTAATACTGAAACAGCATGCAAACCAATATAGCTCCAAAGGAACAGAATAAACAAGTCCTACTAATGCTCTTCCGCCAAGCACATATCCATCTCTATATGCGGTGGTTTGCGGTAAAACGAAGCCCTCAACATCAACAAAAGCACCCTTCAATGCTTTCAATAACAAATCAGCCTCATCAACATTCGATGGAATCGTTCTCAAGACAGGTAGCTTTTTAGATAGTTGAGTTCATCCCCCCCTCGCTCTTCCAACCAGATGCCACATTCCATAACTTCGAGGTGGTCTATTAAACCACTGAATTTTGTGAACAGATCGCTGCAATACGGCTGGGGGCATTGAAAATGCTTCGTATCATGAGCCGCTACCTTCTCGACCGAGTCAATAGTAAATTCGTTACTTTCGTCCTCACGACATAAGACGCGATAGAGTGCTTCCCAACAGTCGCCTTCTTCGCAATGATTAATCATTGAGAGTTTTGCGGGAAACATCTTTGGACAAGCGGGACACTTTGTTCCGCTGATTGTTGGCTGATCCTAACAGTGGTATTAGTAAAAATTCGACCGTAGGGTATAGTCCCGTAGTTTTGAGAATTTGGCGCTGGCTCACCTCTCCTGGTTGAGAATCATCACGCATAACCTCTTCATCCCTAGATTCTTCACCCTTGAACTCCTCACCGTTAAGCTTTTCGTCATGAAGCTCTTCACCATGAGGCTCTTCACCTATAGCCTCTCCGCCCTTAAACACTTCATTTTTGCGCTCTTCGTTCGTTACTTCCTTGTTCACTATTTCTCCAGCCGTTGCTGCTCCTTCAATTACTTCTTCATTGGGATAGGTGGTAATGACATGGCAGTCCCGGATATGAATTTCTAGGGTTTGCTGCTCGCGAAACTCAACAACACATGTATCACAGTAATAGTGTGCGCTGCTCTCAATCTTATGGGCTTCGAAAGCTTTACTAGTATCAAAGTAGATACAGCAAAGCTTGCAGTAGTGATGCTGGATCTCATTGTGGATTTCTAAGGCTCGAGTGTCTTCATAATCACACTCGCATTGCGGACAGTAGTGGTGTTCGTCGCTTTGGGCCATATGCTCCTGGAGCGCAGCCGATGACACGAAAGCTTGCTCGCATGCTTCGCAGTAGCAGTGCGCGGACTGCTCGTGATGCCCGAAAGACTCAATATCCTTAGAATCAAAATCACAGAGAGGGCAGACATGATGTTGGTCACTTTCCACAATATGGGACTCGAGAGAAGCAGGTGTCTCGAAAGCCATATCGCATCGCTGGCAATAATGATGGCTCGTTTGCATATGCTCTTTCAATGATGCAACATCAGGATAGTATCTGGAACATACACAACAGAGTTGGTACGCATGCTGAAAGCGGTTATGCTCATTGAGGTTATATGAGGAGTGGAAAACCTCGACACAGATGTCGCAATAGGGATGCTTCGCTCGTTGATGGGATGTTAGTGTCTCGGTATCTGTATATTCTTCATCACACTCCTGACAGTAATGATGCATTTTGCTGTGTCGTTTGTGGTTGTGTAAGTCCGTAGGCGTCTCGAAATGCTCATCGCAAGTCTTACAGTAATGGTGTTTCTTCTCCAAGTGCAGATCTAGTGACTGGTGATCCTCAAAGTCCATGTTGCATTTTTCGCAATAATGATGAGCCACGCTCACACGCTTATGAGTACTAAGAGCAGACTTATTTGCAAATACCTTGCGACATTGCTGGCAATATGCATGGGAGTTGGGATTCTGTATCACATGTTGGATATATTCTTGCTTGCTCCTGAAGGGAATATCACAAGGCTCGCAATAGCCGTGTGTTGCCGTCTGGTCCAAATAGTGCCGACGCAGCACCACTTTGGAGGCCAAGTGTCTATTACACAAGTAACAGTAATGATGAACGTCGGAAGAGAAATAATGATTTTTCAAACGTTCAGTGTCGGCAAAGTCCGAATGGCATACTTGGCAGTAGCGATGCACTATCCCAAGAGTCCAAGTTGCAGATGTGGTATAGTGCTTTACCAACTCGCCAGGGCTGGAGAATTCTCGAGAACACTTCATACAGAAGTAGTGATTATCGTTGGTGCTGAGGTGACGAGTCTGCTCTTGGGTGGTAGTGAACCCGATGTTGCACTTCGCGCAGAAGAAATGATTTGCCTTGCAATGATTTGTTAATTCCGCCTGGGAAAGGAAATCGACACCACACACATTGCACTAAAAGTGCAGGGTGCTCGTTTCCCTATGATCCCTGAGTTCGTCTTTAGATGAGAAGGTTTTTTGGCATTGTTGGCAATAGCTATGGGCGTTGTGCAGGTGGTCGTCCAACTGTTGCCATTTGAAAGTCTTGCCACACCCTGTAATGGGGCACATTCCATGTTGCGCTATATGTGACGCCAGTGCTGCCTCGTCTCCTAAGAAGTCGGAGTTGCATATGAAGCAGAGGTTGTGGAGGTTTTTGTCTTTTAGGTGGGATGTGAATCTATCTGCGTTAGGCCACCAGTAATTGCATGCCTTGCAGAACCGACGCTCTCCATCATGGAGAGGACTATCTCTCCAGTGCTGCTGTATAGCGACCCAATTTACAAACTCTCGGCCACAGGGCTTGCAGAAATACATGGTGGCAGGGTTTGCAGGAGGAAGACACAAAGCTTATACATGTATCGAGGAAGGTTCAATAAGACCAAAATGATGGCTTTGAGGAGGGTGACTTGTTATAGAAGGAAGTTTGTAAGATTGGCGTTCTTTCCTTTGCTTTGCTAAGTGCATGCGCATGATAGAATGATTCAAATATCTCCTCCGTTAGGTTGGTGATAGTAAGAATATGTGTTGAAAGTTGCCTTCGTGTTATTTCAATCAAGTGGAAGAGAAGAAGATGGAAGAAAGGCGAGAGATGTTAAACAACAAGAAGACCGAAATGCGGCAGGGAAAGGAACTCGCAAGACAGGCGACGTTCTTTCCTTTGCTAAGTGCATGCACGTAGTTGCCTAAACACATAGCGTAGAATAACTGCGCTGTATGTAGACGCACTATGTGCTCTCATTAGGTGTCTTCACCCCTAAGATCTAGTGAATTAGCATACTTAGATGCACAATAACAGGAAGGCGCGTCTTCACGCGGCATGCACATGAAATGGAACTATGGCAACGACGACCTCAACTGCATTGAGACGTAGGCAACTACGAGGTAGATATACTTAGAAAAGTGTACTAGACGAGGGCATTTTGTAATTACACGAGGTACATGTAGAAGAAGATATATAAAAATCGTGATCCCATTTATAATAGCAGTAGTCGGCTCTAAACCTTTCGCCAGTCTGTCATACATCGCTCTATGCTACCCAAGCCCGCAACATCGACAACCTTCTCGTGCCAGCTTAGCAGCACGCTCATAGCCGTACCCGTAGACTCGTTTGTAGTCCCGGGTCTTGAGCCGATCTGGCTGAATCCCGTGGGCTGCGGCGTCAAGATCCGGGCCGCGGTTCGAGGTCCGCTGCTTGCCGATCCACCGCCTGACATACCTTTGTATCTGAATATAGGGGTTAGACTACTGGTGGTGACGAATTCGGTTATAGGGGTTATTAAGGGGGCATACAGGTACTTCATCAATACATCTAACAATTCGCTTCCGCCTTCTGTGCTGTAGATTCGCTGTAGCATCGGTGTCATCTCGCTCGCCTTGATCGACTGCAGGACCTCTACTACGGTTTGCAGGTGGGCATCCTATACCAGCCTCGTAATCAGCACCTGTGTTCTCCTTATCCCAAGCCACCCAATCCATGTTCCTATTACGGGTGCCCAAGGCTATAGCCTACCTTAGCTGAATCGCTGCCATTGTACACCGGGCTCTCGAGGCTGCCTCTCAGGGCACCTTCAGCGTCACCGCCGCGAAGCAGCTGGCGTATTTGGCCGTTAAGCTGCCGGACATCAGCCTCGCCGATCTCGGGGAGTGGCGGGTGTAGGGTCGAGGTGTCGAAGTTCTGCGAGGAGTCGGGGTCTAGGGCATCGATGTTGATGGTTCGCCAGGCGTCGCCGAGCGAGGCCGAGGTGTGCTGCTGAATGATGGACATGCTGGCTGGCTGGCTGGCTGGCGCTTCCTAGCAGACAAGAGCTGCCCAACTGATGTAGAGAAACTCCTATAGCTCTTGATGCCTAAATCAGGAAGAGTTGCCCGTGTTTGCCTACTGCTACGTGTACATAGGAGTCTAGATCGTTTGTGGATTAATTGAGGCTCTGAATCTGGTTTGGGGTCGGTGGACGTTGGGAGAGACAGAGGGATGGAGGCGAATGGTGGGGGCGCCGAGGATTGACGTTGCTTTTTGCCGGTGGACTGGAAGCTGTAAGCTTCTGGGGGGGTGTGGTGGGGCTCTCTGAGGCTGCAACTTGTGGCTTAGAATACATAGAGGACCTAACGGCACCTCAATGGCACCTAACCTTTAGCTGCCTTAGGTACCTCTAAATTTTATTGTTCTAGGTCTCTAAAAAAAAAAAAAAACGCGGTACGCGACGACAACCCATTAAATTCATCGTCACAGTGGCTCAGCTATATCTACACCTCTACACCCGCGCGCTTATAACTTCATACGTCACTGCTACTACTATGCAGCATTTATAATAAACATGTCAAGATAAAACCCAGATTTCATATGGGGCTACCAATAGCAATTAAGTTACCACTTTATCCCCCCCCTCTTCAAGATATACTATCCTATGAGTAATCGATCACCTGGATATTCTTGGAGACCAATCTGCTCGAAGCAATAACCTCCATGTCTATCTTCAGCATCCAAGTCACACGACGGGAGGGTTGGAAACGGCCAACGTGATCGATGAATTGTTCAGATGTGGAAAGCCCAATATTGTCTGATTGGGCTCGAGTTGCTCGAGAACTACAATCTCGTCGTCGTTGTCGATTTAGCTGATGTCGTGTTCCAAGTTCTCAGTTAGTTCATTACGAATTCATCTGTTGTACGCCCCCTGATTCTATGCTTGGCCCCCTATCTTTAGAAGTCGCCTGCTTCTCACATGGATGCAACGTACGATGGATGTACGCTCGTAAATGCGAATGGTTTCATACCGATTAAGCTATATCCTAGAGAAACATGCTCGGTTGTGTTTTGGGCTCGTAGCTGGTACATGCCTTCAGCGAGTATCTTCATCCAAATCCAACAATAACCGTTTCAAGTAGGCCACCCCTGCCGGAATACCATCGTACCACGTAGGAAGAAAGGAAAGGCTTCTGCAACGGCTAGAATTAATTTACCACCGATTTATTACGTGCATGTGTCCCAATTTAATAGCGGTGATAATATACATATAGGTCATCTCTGTGCGCAGACCGAGCCCACGGGATGGGAATGGGTTTTGTTTAGGGGGGAAAAGCTTTGATATTATACTGTGTATTGCGTCTGGCCATCCCGGTGAACTATCTACCTATACGTACGGCACGGATCCAGAAAATAATGAGATATTGCATCTACCGAGTGGCACAGACGGCCAAAAAAGCGCCGAGCTCCTGGAACAAATAAGACCGCGGGAGCTATGTACAAACGACGGGTTGGCCAGGCGATGGACCCTTTCCAGCTTTCGCCCACGGCAATGCTCGAGCCTCCAACCCGCTTGCCCGTAGAAGCAAAGCCGAGCTTACTCACCCCTATTTTTATTCAACTACACGAGTCATTAGTGTACATGGTAAGGATTTTAATAGGTAAGACGGGGACCGGCGGAGCGGCTGGCCCTGTAGACATTTGACTACCTACCCGGGTGGGGGGGGTCTTAGGACAGACTGATACCAATCTGTCAACATACTTCATATCATATACCATAATTTAATCAAACAATAGAGACTCACACGTTTTGTATCGGACACTATTCGACCTGGAGATTCTGATTATTTTAATAAGGATATCCCCAAGGTCCTGGATTTAATTTAAATATAATAATAAAAATAATAGTCTGGTAAGGCTAGGTCAGTATTGTCCCCTCACCAGTATTGTGTCTCCAACAGTGTTTTGGCTGCACAATTGTGGGGTTACACGAACAGAGTGTATACTATATATAATCATGTTATGCTTATAATAGGGACACTAGAGTCACTAATACCCTGATAGGTCACTAGTGCCCGGATATAATAATAGTGGTATTATTGGTGTATTCATTTAATAGCTATTGTGCACCAAGGGATATATATATATTTTTTTTTTAAAAAAAAAAAAGAGGCCATCTCAAACACCTTTTATTTCAAGGTCCTTGAGATTATTTTTTTTATTTTTTTACTAAGTCACGATGGGATTCGAATCATTACAAGTCATGTTACAAGTCATGTTACAAGTCATACAAGTCTACGGGCTATTCAATTAGGCTACGAGGCATTCATTACATTACATTACGTACGCGTGTAGGAAGGTGACCTATGACCTTATATAAGGTATGCTAGGCCACCTGTTCCTTCTAGGTCAGCCAAGGTGCTTCAGGCTTTTAAGGGCTATTATACTGACTATATTGAATTAAAATCAACGTGGTAAGGCAGGTGTAATAGCTGTACTGATAAGCCCTATTATACTGACTATATTGAATTAAAATCAACGTAACGAGGTAGGTGTAATAGCCGTACTGACAAGCCTTATTATACTGGCAAGAGCCACCTGCTATCGACGGCAACAGTATCTTATCTCTGCAAGCATTGTCTCCTCACAAGAGTCTCTTTCCTATTTTAATTTCAGGGCCACAGTAGCACCTACTGCAACAGTATAAAGTCGACGATATTGAGGCTATTTTGATTATAATATTATTCTTGTAAGGGGGGCCCGTGCTAGAATGTATGGTCAGTGCGAGGGTGTATTTTTACGGAAAGGATCGGAAGTAAGGTTATCATTATTCTATATAATTCTGGTACAGCTCTGTTAACAGGCTTTCCCCGAATTGACAGTATGGTACATTCCAACATCCTGGAGCCATACTGTCCTAGGACCCCCCCCACCCGGGTAGGTATGTATCTTGGTCCAAAGGAAAAAAGGGTTGACCCAATCGAGGGGATCGACCCAGTTTATGCGCGAGGGTCCGCTAATAAGGGTCAAGGACGCGCCACAAAATTCATTAGACTTACCAATAAAATCTATCAGCCTCATTGTCACGCTCGGATAGGTCCTCAGAAATAACATATCCTTCGGGACGACTGGAACCCCTGCATATATCGTGTAGTTACCTAATCAATAAGAAGACGCGTCTCTCAGGGCTCTGATATCATAGCATGAATAAGTTTACCTGTTAGCAGTGTTTCTTTACATACCTAGGGTAAGTATGTAGTGTAGTCAACATCCTAGGAGGTATGTAGTGTACATACGTCTAGGACTTGTGTTGATCCCTTTTCTATTCTAGCATTCCGTCTGTGCGGGCTGTAGCCGATAGGACTTTGATCAAGCGGCGGCCAGTTCTTCGCTTCGAACAGGGCTGCCGGTGACGGCATTGCCGAAATCGAAGGTATTCGGAGTCGGTGCGGGTTTTGAAAATAATGCTTCCTACCCGTCAAAGCTCAAGATGACTGGGTATGGGTTAAAAAAAAATTTTACTCCGTAATTTGACAAGCACGTCAATCCAAGGCGAACGCATGGTTAATCCGCCGCGACGGAAAGCTTCCCCGGTACCACGAGTTTTGTTGGGTGAGTCGGGCAGGGCAACGTCCTGATCCTTGTCCGAATCGAACATGACAGGTTCCCCAAATCCCGACGAATATTGGAACTGCCGGGACCACATCCTGCCGCTAGGACGGATACCCTTTGCAAGCCATAAATTGGATTCCTACGGATGAGGGCTTCCGATTTCAACAGTACCTAGGTAGTTAATACAATACCAAGGACCGGTGTCATAATTATCTTTTTTAAGTAATAAGAAGTTTCATAGCTTTGATGTTCAATTCCATCCATGTCAGATAAGATACTGGAGAGTGGATTCTACTCAAGAAATAACCCGGGTAATGTTTGAAATGGCTAGGTACTCTCTTCAGAAGTTGATCTAGTGTGTCTATGAGTTGCTGTCATGCAGCGTGGGTCTCGAAACGTACAGTTGGATATGTAGCATGATGCTATTTCGGATGTGTCCCGTCCCCTTGGGATCCACATCGCGTACCTCATTTGAAGACGTAAAGGTGCCCGTGGCGCTGGGATGGTAAGGCGAGAAAATCATTAGCAACTTTTACATACATACATATATACTGGGGATTCTCACCTTAACCCCTGGTCCCCTGGCAGTCCCAAAGTTACAGATGAGTTTATTAGAAGCATTCCCCTTGCACATAAATTTCGGTGGGAAGCTTCTAGTGCCTTTAGCTACCCGACCTCTTCTCTGAATGGTACATAGAAACCTACGCCCAATTTAACGGGTCCATTACTTGTATGTATATGTACTTGAAAGGGGATGTTTAATCGAATCGGCGACCCGACATCACGGTATCAAATTCCCAACCTCCAGTACACCGGTAACAACGTTACCTCGTATGAAAATCTTAATACACCATGTATCTCATATGTATGCTATCTCTTCAAGTCAATCTATATGTGCCTTCAGAGTAATGTTTCATCCCCAATACCGTAGTATATAGTAATAGTCGACTTAGAGGTTCCCGCTATAGACCTCGGGAGTACCCATGCCGCCGTCAAACTTACTTTCGGGTCTAGCTAAAATCTCGACAAGGCTCTTGTCTTGCAGTCAAGAGTACGTGGACTAGGGTTGCAAGAGTGTGCCTTACGTCCAGTACGAACTGGAAACAGTCAGCCTATTTAGGAATAGCAGAATACCTATATAGTAGTTATACATAATAAGAATCTGACGAGACCGTCCGGTTGGAACCCTTAGTACCCTTGGCTGATGCGCTGCCGCGTATGGAGACGTTAAGTGCCGTGGTGAACGTGGGTCTCTCTCTTACACGTTCTCTTAGAAGCCAAGGATATTGAAAATTTTAATTCGGTGACGTGTTCATAAAGATTTTTATTTTATTTTATTAGAAAGCCTTGATGTTTGTATCAAAGGACCTACTGATAGGAGATATCCGCCATCTATGTTCCTATTCCGATTCGAGATTAAAACAGTAGCAAAATCTTAATGAGTCGGTGTTTAAAGTGGCGTTTCGTAATATTTATTAATTCATTCTTAAGCCAGGCTCAGGATGATTTAGGTAGTTGAGCTTAAAGAAAAATTCCACAGGTGGTGCTACATCCCCATTGTCCGCTTGGTAGAGAAGTCACATGACGATAAAACACTGCGTCTTGTACGGATTGTTTACCGCGGAGGAATACGGGGTTTCGTACAGGTAATGACGAATTTCTAAGAATGCCGATCAATGTATT